AGGAGGAGGAGGAAGGAGAAGAAAAGAGCTTTCTGCTTGATTTCCCCAATACAGAATCGCGTGGCATAAATTAAGTTGGAAAAGAATGAACGCTTTGGGCAGGATTCTGATGGATTTTACGATGCCTTTCAGTTCCGCTTTGCCGCTGTAATCGAGAAATCTGTGCCACGTCAATTTAACAAATACTTGATACTGAGGGGGGTTTGTTAAAGATTTGGGGCAAGTCTTTTCCCCCCAAGGTTTAAGCCCTTGCGCGTGGAACTTTTTATTTCCAGTTTTCTAAACAGGCATTCAGACGAGACTATTTCCCACTTCCATTTTCTAATTAAAAGGTTCCTGAAATTTCATTTCTTACTGAAATCTACTCTCAGACTCAGAGGCACAGAGGATTTAGAGCTCACATTCCTTTCTTCCTTTGTGTCTCCCTTGCTCCTGGAACCCTCTCACCTCCCTCCCACCCACCCAGCTCCCCCCCACCATACACACACACACACACACACACACACACACACACACACACACCAACTTCTATGCTGTAGAGAGAGCAAAGTTCTCAGAAACTAGCTTTCAGAGGAAACATGGATGTAGTGAGAAAAGGATGCTGACACTAGGTGGCAAGATTAAATTAGGATTCATGCTGACCCGGCCCTGTGGGGATGTAGCACGTCCTTACAAAGTCTGCAAAGGGTGGCCACACTGGGATTGCCACCATCCCGGGGGTGTAGCATCTTTGAAGTCTCCATTTGTTCTGAACCAAACAGTAGGGGGTTCTGGTGGGGTCCAAGCCTGCCTTTCTCACTTCACCCTTACATGCACATTACTTTCGACTCATTCTTTGCTTTTTGACCAGGCAGCAGTGGAAAACCTAACGTGTACAGATCTGTCAATTCAGGAACTTTACGGGTATTTGGGAGCCAAAGAAACAAGGTTCTGGTTGCCTAACGTCCAGAAGGATGGCCATGGTTGAGTCCCCAAGTGATTTTAGATTGTTGTTTACAGTGGTTTTACTCGGTATTTCCTCTCTTCCTGCTCATTAAACAGTACTTTGTGATCTCCACACCCGCTGCAATGAAGGTCACATTTTGCCAGGACAGCGCCGGTTCCCACCAATAAGGTGGCTATAGCACACCTGCGGCGAGGCCCTTGTGGCCAGGCACCCTGGGGCTGTGTCACACACCGAGTGACATTTACTCCCACATTCACACCTTCCACCCTGATGACACCGCCGGAGGTGCTGGGGGAGGGGGAGGGGAGCAGACAGGGTTGGGAAAAAGACCCCGAAGTGTGCCTAATGAAGCTGGATGCCAGAGTAGGGGTCCATGAGCCACCTTAATTCTGCATTGAGCACACAAGCATGAGAGCAATTTAGATAATTCATTGTGTGATACGTGTGTTCTCAGCCCTCCCAATAAACTCATTTCCCTTAAAAAAAAATGAAAACAAAAGTTCTAGTGTCTGATGGACGTGTAAAAACCTAATAAGGTGATGGTTGTGTAAAGATTTCGGGTGGGGGGGGGCGGGCTGGAAGGTCTTTAGAACATGTGCCGGACATTGTTGCAGAGGCCGCGGCGCGCGCGGAGGGGAGCTCTTTCTCTCGGCATTGTGCGGGGAGCAGGTGCGGTCCGCATTACCATACAGCTGAGCGCACAAAGAGCCACTGATTCAGCCTCGCACAATAACAGACTGCCTTAATGACAGCCACGCGAACGACACACACCAAACTCACTTTTTACCAAGCGGAGGGAGGC